GCATTTAGTTTCTTTGAATATTTGACCTAAAATTCAGTTCAAATGAAAAAAAATAATCGAAATAGACGTTTTGTGAGCTAAATTACCAGAGAAATTCTCAACCCAGAGAAAATCTTAATCCAGAGAAAATTCAGTTTCATTGCCAAATACTCCTGGAAGCTTGAACCCAGAGAAATTTGAATTTTCTCTAGGTTGAATCCAGAGAAAATACAAATTTATCTAGGTTGAATCCAGAGAAATTTGAGAAATTCTACTACTAAGAAGGTGGAGAATTTTTAAAAAAAGAAAAAGAAAAAAAACCTATTTTACAACAGAAACAATCTTCCAATTTCCATTTGAAGAAACAACCAGAATTCAAAATGCTAAACCGAAAACTAGGTAATAACATACTCGAAGGTAGAAAAAGAGTTACACCCACTGTTGCTTTGTTGCCATCATTAGGTTTCTTTAGCTTGTAAGTTCTCTTAAATTTGTTGTCAACTGCTGTTTCCTTTATTTTTTTATTGCTGGACATTTCATGTTTAACGGACCTAATATCAACATCATTCACTGCATCAGTCTTCTCAAGGGATTTTTCATATATGCAATCACCACCTCTAGCTTTCTTTCGCTTGTAAGTTTGCTGTGGTTGGATTTGGATGGAGAATTTTGATTACCTTTTTTGCCTTCATCTTCTTCCAGAATGTTAGAATTTACATTGCAAAGTTCTGCATCTCCAGAAACAACATCAGACTTCTCGCAAGTGCAATCAGTTTCTTCACTTGATTCATTGTCTTCCGTCTTTTTATTTTGGTGCTGGAGCGATTCTATCACACCCATCAACTCTCTGTTAACCTATTATGGAAAAGAAAGTATCTTCAAGGGCAATCAACATTTATCAGAACCCTAAGGATTCAAAAACCTAACCCTAGTTAATTGTTTTGGGTGGTAAAGAGAAGCGATTTAGTGAGGCCCCTGTTTTGTTGAGGTTGTGTCGATCAAAGCCGACGCAGGACCAAAGAAAGCTGCAAACCAGGCGTTGATGATGAGGAAGAAGGGACGTCCATGGTCGGAGGGGATGTCCATGGTGGCCTCTACATTTTTCACGGAGGTGGTCGTTGACGCGGGTCAGATGAAAGGACTGAAATTTCTCTGTTATATGTGTAGGACCTTAGACATCAAAAAATAATTTTGTGGATCTCTTCCATTACGAAAAGTGGGAGAGAGATCTTAGACCAATTTTCCCAATTTTTAAATGCACCTAATTTAGATATTTCTAAAATGTAAAAAAATAATTAAAATATGGAAAAGATTGTTAAAAACAAAACAAAACCCAAATAAAAAAAAAATAATTAAAATATGGAAAAGATTGTTAAAAACAAAACAAAACCCAAATAAAAACCTTTGTTCTTTTTTTTCGGATTTTCTTTCACACTTTTTAGATACATCAAGATTTTGTATATTTAAAAGGTCAATAACAATTGACTAGAATATGAAAAAAAAAAAAAATTACATAAAAAACAAGAAGATCTTACAACAATTTAAAAAAAAAAAAAACTAAACATAACCCTTGCGACCCTCCACTTTCACGACACTCAAAACGTTACCATACATAAATTCTAAATTGTCTAGTACAAAATATACATTGGAGATTGAAAAAATCTATTTGTTGTTGTCGTTTATTGTAATAAACAAAGTTAGTCTGTTTGGCAATATATTTGGGATTAATTTAGTAAAAGACAAAATAAGATAAAAAAATTAATAAGATAAAATGTTATATCTAAATTATAATTAATTTTTTTTTTTGGTCACCAAATTATGAAAAAAAAATACAAGCTCATTCCAAAAAAAACTTTTTAGCCAAGCTAAAATAGTCAAAAAGTCAAAAAATTAAGTTAAAAGAAATTCTTCCCAAATGAAATCTTAAATTAAGGGTTGGTTTGGGGTGTCCTAAAAAAGTGCACTTTTTGTCTTTTTACGAAAAGATGTGCAAAAAAGTAGAGAGGTGATGTGATGGAAAAAAAGATAAAAAGATGGATTATATAGTGTACCCCAAACCAACCCTAATAATTTGTACACAAAAAATTTAAGTAAATCGAGAAAGTGCAATAAAAGTATTATTTGGATGACAGAATTAACAAAAAGAAAAAAAAATCATCATGTTTGTTTTCAGTTTTTTGAAAACATTTTTCCAAAAATTTTATTTTCTTGTTTTTCATATTTTTTTAATTTTTAGACACACTTAACATAAATACACTTAAAAAGTATAATTTTCGTGAAAAACTTTTTTAAAAAAATTCACTAAATATCAAAATACGAAAATTCAATATATTCTTTGTATTTTTGTGTATTTATTAATTTTTTAAAATATTTTTTCACAAATATTTTATTTTTTAGATATATCTAAGTAAGATGCATCTAAAAAAGTAAAAAAATACTTAAAATTTAAAAAATATTCACTAAAAACAAAAAAAATACGAAAAATAAAAAACTTAATTTTCAGAAAATTGAAATCAAATACACTAAATAGCACTATTATTAACATTAAAAAAGTTCTAGCGTAATTAATCCTAATTTACAATTCTTTTAGTCCCCTAGCACACTTTCCATATCACTTTCTCTCTTCTTTTCTTTGGTTCTTCCTTTCCGGGTTGGGTATCTCTTCTTCAACCAAATTTTTTTTTTTTCTTTTTGGTTAAACAGCCAATATTTCTAACCCCTCAAAGAAGTTAAAGATTTTTTAAAATGTTTTTAGACTTTGTGGGTGTTTAGGAAGTGGATTTTTTTGTAAATTTTTTTAGTTGTAGAATATTATTGGAAATTTTTTTTTTTTGTGTTTCAGAAGATAATTGAGTTTTTTTGTGGTTGGATGTGATGTTTTTGAGATAAAAAATAAAATGATTATAGAGTTTGATATGATATTTTGTTTGGATTATTTTTTTTGATTTTATAATTATTTTGTCTTTTAGTGAAAAAAATCAAAAACGAAGGTTGCGTTTGGTAGAGTTTTGTAAATTTGATTTGAGAGTATGCGTTGTGTTTTGAGTTTGTGAGTTGTGAAATTATGATTTGAGTGTAGAAAATTTGTTTGGTGTTTTAAAAAGAGTTTTGAATTATGTGTTTGGTTATAAGTTTTGAAAAGTAATGATTATGTTTTGAATTGAATTTTGAGAAATAAATGTAGAATTATGATTTAAAAATACAAAACAAACAACACATTCAAATCAATGGATAAAATTATAATTCGAAACCCTTACCGGAGCCCAAACTTTCCAAAGAGCGCCATATTTGACGACATTTTTATTTTTATTTTTATTTATTTATTTATTTTTGTAGTGGATCGTGTCAGAAGTTGTCCACACGAAAATTGTTTTCCTTTTCGTTAACCACTCCTGTACACTTCTGTTTGAAAAGTTACTGGTCAATCCTTGGGATTGTTGCTTATAGTTTTTTATTGTGATTATAATTTATTTTAATTTAAGAATTTATATCAAATTATTTAGTGTAGTTTTTATTTATAATTTATTAGGTAAAATTAACTTAAATAGGTTGAAAAAATTGATTATTTAGAAATTAGGGTAGAAATACTAGTTTATACTTTCTAATTATGAACTTTTAACTTAAAAAAAATTTCACCAAATAAGGTACTTATCCAATTCAATGATTAATAATTTATTCCTTATTATTTGTTATTTTTTTTGATTAATTTTCTTTGGATACAAATCACAAAAATACATGAATTCGTTTGGTTTAGTTTTAAAATAATAATTTGTATGTAGATTTTGTTTTGAAATATAAGTTTTTGAAATAAGTTTTAAAAAGAGAAAAATTATTTGGTTATGAGTTTTGAGTTTATTTTTTAAAAATATTTAGAATTTTTCTTAATTTTATTTTTTTAGAATAAATATTTTTATTGTAAATATTTATTTTTGAAAAAAATTAGTTTTTTATTATAAATATATAATTTTTATTTTTTATTTTAAATATTTTATTTATTTTTAAAATATTTGTTAAAACATTTAAATTTTTTATTTTTTAAAAATATTTAATTTTTAAAAAAATTTAAATTTTTTTTGGATCACCCATATATATCTAAATTATAACAAATTATTTGGCCAATGCTTAAAAAAATAACAAAATATTTTTTTCAAAAAATAAAAAATATTTTTCTTCAAAAATAAAAATAAAAAATATTTTGAATTTTTTTCAAAAAAATAAAAAATAATTTTAAAGAGCAAAATAAAAATTTAATTTTTTGAACTTTTTTTTTTTTAAAATAGAGTTTTCAAAAGAGTTTGGTTATAAGTTTTGAAAAATATTTTTGAATAAAGTTTTAAAAACTTTATTTGGTTATGAATTTTAAAAATAATTTAATTTTTTTTTTATCCAAATCATGATCTGAAAAGAGAACCAAACGCTACTCATATATTTTCCTTGAATTTGTCATTAAGATGTTCATATATAATATTATAATAAAATCTAACAAATTACCATCATAATATTGAAGATCAAATATCACATATAATTGATATTGGCCTCCTAATGAGGTGTTGATTTTTTGGTTGGGTTTGTGAGGCATCTTTATTAAGTTAATTGTTAGACTATAATTATCCAAGTGTAATTATTTTTTATTAATTTAAGGCATTTGATTTAGTGGTTATGCCATGTCTTTATAGTATGAGATTTCGAGTTTAATGAGGTGTTGATTTTTCGGTTGGGTTTGTGAGGCTTGTTTATTAAGTTAATTGTTAGACTATAATTATCCAAGTGTAATTATTTTTATATTTTTAAATATTTTTTTATTAATTTAAGACATTTGATTTAGTGATTATGCGAGGTCTTTATAGTATGAGATTTCGAGTTTAATTTATGTAGGATGAGTTTGATACTCTTGTTTGATGATATATATTTCTCATACTTCAATTGACAAAAAAAAAAAATAAAAATGAACAAATAAAAAATATAAAAAAAGACTCACCAGTAATGGTCAAACCAAATACCTTAAAATAGTGAGGATTCTTCCCCTCTGCTTCATAACCTTTACCTCACAATTTCCACTTGTCCTTTTGCAAGACGCTTCCTCTCATCTTTTCTTTTAGTTCTTTTGGGTTTTGTTTCTTCTCCATCTGACATTTCGAACCACTCAGGGGGAGTTACAGATTTTTTCTTTCTGCAACAAGGTAACAATTTATCTTTTCTGCATGATTTCAAATTTTTTTTTTATTCATCTCTTCTTTTTTTTGATTCAACAAATTATCTTTTTTGCATGATTTCAATTATTTTTTTCTTCTTCGCTTGAACTTTGTGATCATTCTGAATGTTTGCCTAGTCATTTGGGAAGTTGGGTTGGGTTGGGGTGGATTGGGGTTAAAATAGTCATAAAAAAATAAAATAGGCTTTTTTAAGTCCAGACGACATTTATTTTTTCTTTTACAAAAGTCAAAAAAAAATTAAAAAACTTATTTCAAACAAGACTTTTTAACCTCACGTTAAAATAACTTAAAAGCCAAAAAATTAAAAAGCTAACTCACATCTCAAACAAAACATGCATGCCTATCATTAGCAGTATTGCATCTCTCAAAGTTGGCCTGATGGCCAAGACCTAGGTTTGAGGGCATGCTCCTTCTGTGGTCTTTGATTTAAAACTCTACGAGTGTAAATAATTTTTTAAGTTCAGTCTATACAGTACTCTATCTCAGTTAAAATTGAGCTCTCCTATAGTGGATGGTGGGATTGATCCATTCAATAAGTCGGTCGATTAGATTGTATACCGAGTTATTTAAAAATAAATAAAATTAGAAGAATTGCACTCGATGAAACTTTCTAATTTGTTGAGCTTTTTCCTTCCAAAATGAAACTTTAAAAACTCTCTATTTTACAATTTTGAATCTAATTTTGCAAAAACTTTCGATTTTTATGGTGAGCTCAGTTATGAGGGACTTCATGTGAATGTTTTCTTTTTTTCTTTTGCTTATTTTTCTTATTATTATTTATTAGATTGTTCTTGCAAAGCATCCTGGGTTCTCTTTGGAATGAAAGGTAAAGTGTTATATCATTTTTTTTTTCATGAATAAAATATAAATTAAAATAAAATAATTAAAAAATAATAATTATTCTGACTTCCTTGACTTGAAAAGAATAAAAAGCATGTGTTTTTTCATCAATTAAACGTAGGTTATGCTCCTTGCGTACTAAAGCATTAATGATATTTGTTTTGGTTTGTTTTACTCGTTGTGCTTGTAGCAATCTTTTAGTTTTCGAGTCTTGATTTTTCTCAAAATATTATGAGACACGTCTTTGTGATAAGTAAATTTGTACTAACCAACAAGGATAAATTCAGTGGTAAGATTTTCAAAATTTTCACTCGAAACTTAAATTTGAGTTTTCATAATTCTTTGTTGGAGTTAAACATATTTTTTTAGCACGCTAGAGGCTTTAGTTTTGGCTCCGATGTCGGTGCGGTAGAATTCTCTATAGATACACTATAGTGTTAAGAGATAATACTCTCTGAAAAATATGTCTACATGTCTATTTTTATAAATAAAAAATAAATAAATTTGTACCCAACTTGAATATGAGATTTTGTGGTAATGGTTGGATTTCACACCGATTCACGTATGTACTTGAGGAGATCTTGGAACCAATCAGCTTTGATTGGTTTTGGTTTCCACAAAATACTTTTTAGTAAATTTTACTTTTTAATTTTTGTATATATATATTTTTTTGTTTTCAATGAATTTTTTTAATATTTTAAGTATTTTTTTTTAAAATTTTTAGATACACCTAACATAAATACATTTAAAAATATAATATTTGTGAAAAAAATCTTTAAAAATTCACTAAATATAAAAAATGCAAAAAAATAAGAAAATTTAGTACATTTTTTGTATTTTTGTGTATTTATTAAATTTTTAAAATATTTTTTCACAAATATTTTACTATTTAGATACATCTAAGTAAGGTGCATTTAAAAAATAAAAAAATTGCTTAAAATTTTAAAAATATTCACTAAAACAAAAAAACAAAAAATTCAATTTCTAAAAAACTGAAACCAAACACACTAAATAGGATTAGAGGGAATGTTATTTTATAAAAATAACATAATCATCTTTTATATATGTAATTACATAGATTTAATCCTAATAAATTAATTAGGGCGCAAATAAACATAATTTATTTTATATTTCTAATATAATACCACCACACTTGTAATCTCATCACTTAATCGCATCTTATTAATAATCCTCAAACAAACAGGACCTATGAGATTGCTAGTCCCCTCCTTAAAAGGAATTCATAGTCACATGAGATTTGACATTTCGTTTGGTTTGAGAGCTCGTTTGTTTTCAAAAGTATGTTGGGTGGAATTGTTAGTGAGAGGATTATTAATGAGAAAATTAAGAAAAATTGTGTTTGTTTGATAACCAGTGGACTACCAATAGTTCTTGTTTGTTTTGAGAGATATGAGTGGGATTAACTATGTAAAATTCCATAAATATCCTTATTGTATTACTATCAAATTTGAGTTTATACCAACTAATTAATTCATTAAATATTTTGATATTAAAAATATATTTTAATATTAAAAATTATATTTCATAAATATATATATTTTTTGGTATTACTTCAGTTTTTAATATAATTTTTTTTTGGTATAAATATTATTATGCTATTATATTTTTATATTCAAAATTATTTTGATATAAAGAATGGTGGAATAATTAAAAAAAAAATTGATAAAGAAAATACCATATTAATCAAGTAGAGTAAGCAAATTATGTAAGATAATATAGGGCAAAATAGTGAATCTCCTCTAATCTCAAGGGATTGTTTTTTTAATACTATCTCCCATGAGAGACTATTAATCTCATCCTTGGAGGTTTATCATAATCCCAACGTATTGTGAATCCCCTGCCCCATTATGCAAACAAATATAATATTAATGGACTCTACATCCATCATAATCCAATCCTATCTCCTATAACCCAAAAGAGACAACCTATGATTTGGAAAGAAAAGAAAAGAAAAGAAATAGAGATAAATAGATTTCAATCACTTGTTTGGATTACCAAATAAGAGATAGATGGAAAAAAAAATTTAAAAAAATGAATTTTAATCACTTGTTTGAATTATCAAATAAAGGAGAAATTGAGATAAATGAAAAGAAATGGATATAAACACATTTTTCTAATAAGAGATTGGGAGAGAAATGAATCTAATTAAATATTATTTTGTTATAATATCAAAATTATCTTTTTAAATATTGAACAAATAAAACGACTACCACTTGTCAAAGGTTAATTTAGTATCATAAATATAATGGATAGGCACCCAAAATTCCTTGCTTACGTGAGCCCGAATAAATTTTCACTCTTTTCACTTAAGTTTTCTACACGTTAATCCAGGCTACAGCGAAAGGAAAGCTCCGTTGGTTTCCAAGCAATTCAAGTGTTCAAGTTAAAAAAATAAAAAGAAAATATAATAATAAAAATAAAAATCTTTTTTTTTTTTTGAACGGAATAAAAAAAAAAATGTGACTAAAACAAATCGGATCTAACCGTTTCACTTGAAAGTATCTCCAATTATTCATTAATATGGGTAAATTACCAACACTCCTTTAAAATTTGACTAAAATATAAATTCTCTTTGAAATTTGAGAAATTATATCTACTCCTGAGATTTATATTTGCATAATAAATTTATTTTTTTATGCAAATATAAATCTCAAGGAATAATTTATAATTTTTTAAATCTCAAAAAAATCCGTATTTTAGTCAAACCTTAAGGAGGTGTTGATAGTTTGTCCTTTATTATTTGAGTAAAATTTAATTTAATATTATATATTTTAATCTTTTCATTAAATTTGACCGATCGACTGGTTAGTTATTTGACTGGTCACCTATCTAGAGTAAATTTTAATAAAATTTATTTGACCAGTCGACTGGTCAGTTATTCGACCTGTCTATGTAGAGTAAATTTTAATTAAATTTATCTAAAAATTAGTTATTCGGAAGAATATCTAGGAAAACATTTGGCCGGATGGTCGATCCAATAATCACTTATAAATTTGATAAAATAATAATAGGTTGCTTGGGTGTCCTAAATAAGTGTTCTTTTTGTCTTTTTGGACTAAAAAATTGAGGGAAAAAATATGAATATTTGGATTAACTTTTTGACTTTTTATAAAAAAATGTGTATTAAAAAATTATATAAAGAAGTGTGTAGGAAAAGATAGTGTAGTAGACGGTACGGATTGACAGTCAGTCAGCTTGGTGAATACATGGGAAAAGATTGTCTCCTTTTCGGGCTTTGATTAGATAGTGTTGTTCGACCCGTGGGGGCCCACCACGAGTCCTGTTTTTGTAATCGGAACCGTGCAATGTATAGAACTCGTCAAGTACTATATACTTGTAAAAAATCATGTTGATTGGATATCGATAGTTATCTGATCGTGTTAGTTTTTTTTGTCAACTGTTAATTATAACACCATCTAATTTTTATACAAAAACTTATTTGATCATGTAGTTAGCGATATTCAATAGACGTGATTTTTAGAAACATATAGTATTAGATGAGTTCTATATCTTGAACGGTTCGGATTATCAAAATAGGACTCATGGTGGGCCCGTGAGGGCCCAACTTTACCATCTAATTTAGTGAATGTACACATGCAATTTTTTTTTCCCTTTCACTGAAGCTGGCTTGACGTCAGTAATTGATAGGTCAAAAAGTTAATTTGTATTTAATATTTGTATATTAATTTTTTTTTTGTGAACAATAATAACTTTTAAATTTTTTTAATAATTTTTGACTTTTTTTACAATTGCCAAACCAGTCTTAATTTTTTTTTTCATTTAATGGAAGTATTTTTTTTTATTTGATACTAAACTGATAAAATAATTAGAATATTATTTATTAATATTTTATACCAATTTGATATTAAAATATTATTTTATAAATATTTTATTAAATTTAAATTTAATAAAAAATGAGCTAAGAATGGCCCGTTTAGTAGTGTTGTGAGAAAATAATTATAACTTATAACTTAACAGCTTATAGTTTATAACTGTGAATGTAAATTAATTTTTGACTTATAAATTAAGTTTCTCTTCCCACTCAAAAAATAAGTTAATTTTTAACTTACAAAAATTATAAATTATATTATTAAACTAAACCAAACATATTAAAATAATTTAAATTAAATTAAAAGCTTAAAGCTTAAATAAACTGTAAATAAGTCTTACCAAACGGGGAATACCATATTGATCCATCGACTCCTCTACCCGTTCCTGATTTTTCGGCTTCTCTCTCGGTCTCGTCTCTCGGTCTCGCGCTTAATTTTTTTTTTTTGTGAATAATAATAACTTTTAAATTTTTTTAATAATTTTTGACTTTTTTTTTACAATTGCCAAACCAGTCTTAAATTTTTTTTTTCATTTAATGGAAGTATTTTTTTTTATTTGATACTAAACTGATAAAATAATTAGAATATTATTTATTAATATTTTATACCAATTTGATATTAAAATATTATTTTATAAATATTTTATTAAATTTAAATTTAATAAAAGATGAGCTAAGAATGACCCGTTTAGTAGTGTTGTGAGAAAGTAATTATAACTTATAACTTAACAATTTATAGTTTATAACTGTGAATATAAACTAATTTTTGACTTATAAATTAAGCTTCTCTTTCCACTCAAAAAATAAGTTAATTTTTAACTTACAAAAACTATAAATTATATTATTAAACTAAACCAAACATATTAAAATAATTTAAATTAAACTAAAAGTTTAAAGCTTAAATAAACTGTAAATAAGTCTCGCCAAACGGGGAATACCATATTGATCCATCGACTCCTCTACCCGTTCCTGATTTTTCGGCTTCTCTCTCGCTCTCGCGCTCGCGGCGGATCTCAGGGGGTTGCGTAGATCTCAGCTCTCTCGCACGGCTGAGGAAATCTCAAAGTTGGATATCAGTGATTTTAGTTGACCTCTCTGGATCTCTATATATGTTTGTATTCCATCCATTTTTCCAACTTTTCATTAAATCCTAGGGTATAAATCTACAGATATATAATTATTATCATTCTTTTTCTTTGCTTTTCGATAGAATTTGTACGTCCTACGTTTCTTTTTATATCTATGAATGCATTCCGTTTGATTGAGTTTTCATATTCCGAAAAAAAAATAAAAAAAAATAAAACTAATTTAGTGGAAAAAATGAAACGCTTATTTAGATGTCAAACAAGCTCTTATTATTTCTCTATAATTTTCTCTCTCGGTTTTTTAAATAGTGGAAATGATTTTAAAATTTAGAGATATATATTTGTGTTTATTTTTATCAAATTAATTTTTAATTTAAAAATTTTTTTGGAAAAACAAATTCTCAAAACTTAACCAAACAAAACAAAGCTAAGGTGATAGTTTTGTTAACTAGGGTGGGTCTTTGGTCTGGTGGTTATGTGGTGTCGGGTTCAACTCTCACTTTGTGAGGTCTGGGGTTCAAATCAGGAGTTTGATATTTGTTTCTTCAGGGGTTGTATGTAGCAAATAGTGATTGTTAGGCTTAGGCTTGATTATTAGGTTTGGTGACTTTTTAGTTATTGTTGGGATGGAGGTCTTGGGTTCAACTCGAGTAGCTCGTGATAGAATTTTCTCTTTTTGCTGACCCTAATGGTGTGACCGAACCTGAATACCATATTCATCAAAGAGATATTATAAATTTTTCCCCAAAGCGAGTTTGCCACCAACTGTAGCGGCACCCTCCGCTAAAATTTGTCCTTTTTTAATGCATCTACCTCGCTGAGCCTGGGGTTTTTGAAGCATACAAGTATTTTGTTGGAACGTTGGTACATAACTAATGGAATGTTTAGAGTATCTCCATTACCTGATAAAAAGATCTTGTCAGTATCAGTATAAATGATCTTTCCCTCAGAGTTTGATACTTTGTGGTAGTATTTGTTTCTCTCCATTATGCGGTTGTATGTAGCTTTAGTGATTGTTGGGCGTGGCTCGGTAATTGGTTGTTAGGTTTGGTGACTTTCTAGCTTTTGTTGGGTTGGTGGTCTATCTGAGGTAATATTTCTCATATTTGTAATTACTCTTCATTGATAAAAAAAAAAAATGATAATTTTGTCTTTTTTGTTCAGTGAATTGAACACTGGTTGGTCTGTTTTGGTGCAAGTCGACAGAAAATCAACTATGTCAGTTTGGTGGCAAATTCTACACCCTTAAACTTTGTTAGTTTCGGGCTTTAAATTAGCATGAAGTTGATTTACTGTGATTTTTATAGTTTTCAAAATTTATTTTTTCTTAGAAATAGAAAATAGAAACTAATTTAAAAATTTGTCGGACAAATTGTTTTTGATTTTTTTTTTTTTTTTAAACACCCCATGTTTTAGAAGCATTTAAAGTTGTTTTCTTAATTTTTCCCCCTTCCCCCTTCCCCCTTCTAAAATAACAAAAAAACAAAAAAAAATATTGCAATGAAATGAAACCATACCAAACCATACCAAACAGTTCATAATTTGAAGCTTGGCCCCGAATCTTGTTTTGTTTTTTGTTTTTGTTTTATTAAATAATTTCTTAGAGGAAAGCGAGTCTAGCGTAGCTTGTATACCTGCCTATTCATGATCAAACCAGAAGCTTGGCTGTCATGGACTGATGTAGTGCTAGGGGACCAATTTCTATGATTAGAATATAAAATAGAAGCTAATGCTAAATCAAAACAAACCAGACTAACTCTTTGGTTTATTATATTTGTCAAAAGTTGCAGAAGCATTTTTCCACATGTACATATTTGGTTCTCATCCGCTTCAGCTTGAACACCATGTTTATATGTAATTTGTTCCAAATATGGCAACTCCATGATAGAATTTTCTCTTCCCATGTAGAGGTTTTGTGAGTTTAGGTGTTGAGTGGTTCAAAGTCTAGCTTTGTTTGTGTTTGTAGTCATCCACCTGTCTGAAGTTTAGAAACAACATCAGGGAGAAAAATTCTTGAACAACATAAATGTTGGGCCATTTTTACTAATATCTATTTATAGGATTACCTTTTTGTCAATGATTGACATTCTAATATTTTCAGGTGAATATGAAGTCAATTTGTACATATTAGCATTATTTTCGTTCTCTTTCTTTTGTTTATTGAAATCAAATTTCAAATTGCTTTCTAATTGACATTGAAATTTTCTTTCTCTGCAATTTCTCTATTTGCAGGAACTGACCACGCCATGGAATTCTTGGGTTCCATTTTTGAAATTGGGAAGAATGCGTTGGAAGCAACTGGAAAATGGGTTGTAAATATCAATAGCCTTGATGCAAACATGAAAAATCTCAAAAGAAAGATAGAGTACTTGAGCTGTCAGGAGGATGATATAAATACAGAACTGAGCAGTGCAGAGCGGTCATTGAAAAGACGAAAGAAAGAAGTTGAAGTTTGGCTCGGAGATGTGAAAACGTTAAAAGGTGATGTGCGAACTTTGCAAAGACTTGAGGAAGAAGTAGTTGGATGGAAGTATGTCTTCTCACGTGCACGGTTGGGAAAGCTTGTCATGGAGAAGATTCAAGAGGTGGAAGAATTGCAAGTGAAGGGTAGATTTTCTAATGGTTTGCTGATTGATGCACTACCAACTAGTGGATGGTCTAGACCAACAATGGGATCTCTTGGTGAAACCACAAGTGAAAGGAACATGGAGAAAGTTTGGGAATACTTAATGGATGATGAGGTTAGAACAATTGGTGTGTTTGGAATGGGGGGAGTAGGCAAAACAACCATCATGAAGCACATTAACAGTCAACTCTTGAATGAAACTTGTTACTTTGATGATGTTATATGGGTCACAGTATCTAAAGCATTCAACATTAGCAAACTACAGAGTGACATAGCTAAGGCACTGAATCTTGATTTTTCAGATTACGAGGATGAAACGAGAATAGCATCAGAATTATACGCAATCCTTTCTCGAAAGGAGAGGTATGTGCTCATCTTAGATGATCTATGGGAAGCATTTCCTATGGAGAAGGTGGGTATTCCTGAACCAACCAGATCTAATGGATGTAAACTAGTTTTGAGTACACGATTCTTTGAAGTGTGTAAAAAAATGGAGTGCAGACCTGTCAAAGTGGAGCTTCTCACGGAAGAAGAAGCACTAAATTTATTTATGAGTAAGGTTGAAGAAGGTCAGACAGTGCTTATTCCTGAAGTGAAAGAAATTGCTAGAAAAGTTGCCAAAGAATGTACGGGACTGCCACTTGCAATCGTTACCTTGGCCGGAAGTATGAGGGGAGTAAATGACATTCATGAGTGGAGAAATACATTAAATCAATTAATAAGCTCAACAAAACAGATCAGTGACATTGAAAATGCAGTGTTTGAGCTACTAAAGGTTTGTTATAGTCGCTTAAAAGATGAAAAGCTTCAATACTGTTTCTTGTATTGTGCATTGTATCCTCGAGATCATATCATCCCTAGGAAAGAGTTGATAGAGTATTGGATATCTGAGGGACTAATAGCTGAGGCGAACAGTATAGAAGCAATGTTCAACACTGGTCACGCTATATTGAATAAACTCGTAAATACCTGCTTGTTGGAGAGTGCGAAGATACACAGGACAGAATGTGTGAGGATGCATGATTTGATCAGAGATATGGCTCTCAAAATAACAAAAACGAGTCCTAGATTCATGGTACAATCTGGTGAGGGATTAGAAAGAGTATCACATACAAACTGGTCTGACGAACTTGAGATGGTTTCCTTAATGTATAACACAATAAAAGAACTTACTTTTAAACCACCCATTTGCCATCGGCTCACAACTTTACTCTTGGGACATATTCCATTAAGAAAGATTTCAGATTCTTTCTTTACTCCTATGCATTGTCTTAAGATGCTGGATTTGTCCAACACCTACATACAGTATCTGCCAGAGTCCATCTCCAACTTGGTGAATTTGCATGCACTCTTACTAGTGAATTGTGTGTGCTTAGAGTATGTGCCATCACTGGTGAAGCTGAAGGCGTTAAAAGAGTTCAAACTGAATAGAAGTCTGATTGGAGAAGTACCCCAAGGTATGGAAGAATTGGTTAATCTTAGAAATCTTGACCTCTCCTTCAATAAAAGCCTACATATGCTTCCTTGCTGGAACTTATGCAGACTCTCCCAACTTCAAATCCTTAGAATTGAAGGGTCAGGAGCTTTTGTGTCAGCACAAGAGGTCTTTGGCTACTTGACGCAATTAAAAGTTCTTGGTGCTCAGTTTCTCAATGTGCAGGAGCTTACCAGTTATGTGACATCTCAACAATGCCAAACCTTGGAAAACTACCGCCTTATAGTGGGAAATAATTTTGAATATATAAACAACTCTGTGGGGAAAGAAGTTCATGTGATTGGTTTTGACTCTAAACCTTTTGGGAGTGGAGTTGATTCATTGTTGCTTCCCAGCAACATAGAATACTTTGGGATTACAAGATGCGAGGATCTCATTAGCTTATCAGATATTCTGTCCTTGAGGGATGTCAGTCATTTGAGAATTTGTCTTCTCCAATACTGTAATGGGATAGAATCCATCTCTTCATCATCTTCCTTCTCAGAAGATTGCCAGATCCCACTAAGAATTGTCGAGGAATTACGACTTCTTGATTTACCCAGATTTAGGGTACTCTTTGATGGAGTTGTTCCACCACACGACATTTCCTTTAACCTTAAGAAGTTGTACTTCTATAGATGTTCCAGTGTCAAGAATATTTTTCCTGCCATGTTGTTGCAGAACTTCCCTAAGCTTGAGGAACTAACCGTATCTGATTGTGAGAATGTTGAAGAAATAATAGTAGGAGTAGAGATGAGATATCAGGGCCAGCATCAAGATGATAGCAATATTATCACACTCCGAAATTTGAAGAGTTTACGACTAGGAAAGCTACCAATACTGAAGAACATATATAAGGGCATAATGGTTTGTGAATCTCTGCAAGATATTCTTGTACATAGTTGTCCCATGTTAAGGAGACTGCCTCTTTCTTTCCACATGAATAGTGTGCACGCATCAGCACCTCCTGGTCAGCACATTAGGGGAGATGAAGAGTGGTGGGAATATCTGCAATGGGATGATCCCCACACCAAAACCACTCTTCAGCCTTTGTTTGTTCCATTTCACAAGGTAAATATCATTATATCATGTCTGATTAAAATTTGGCAAACTATATTCAAATCATCCTTGACAAAGGGCATACCTTCTGAGAGAGGTAGCTAGTTTTTATAAATTTCACTGGGGAGTACTTTTTTGTTATTATTTATAACCATGTAGTATTCCTTGTTTAATGTTGCACTAAGAATTTTGTGAACTCTTTGGCTTGTGGTTTTGGATTCATTTAAGTGCAGTAAAAGAGGTAAGTGACCTTCCACCACATCCAGTAATTTTTTTATATATGTATATAATCTGTTTGAAAATTGTTTTAAATGTTGATGAAATCCTCACTTTGTTATTATGAAAATAAAATAAGGGTGTTCGCAGTTCAGTTGGGCCGGAGAACCTCCAATTCGCCATCCGTCCTCTGGATTGGCTGATTGGAAAAAATCAATCCGCATCCGTCAACTAGATTGACAAATGCGGATTGAGCAGATTGGCGGATGGATGCGAATCGGTTTGGCGGTTTACACTTTTACAAATTTTGAACATAATACAACTTGTCAATATATTTTTTTTTTGGATAACAATTCAACTCAATATAACTAAAAGATTATCAAGTAAATTGTCAAATATCAATAATAAATACATATAAGAAAACCATGCATTATCAAAATTATTTCATTACTTTTTTTTTATTCAAAAACTATTTAATTTGATTTGTTTAAAAAATGACAAAATTAAGCCTTAAATTTTTCACACAAAAACATAGAATATCACCTGCCATTTGATAAAAGGATTTCCAAATTGAAAACAAACTAAAAACACAATAGAATATCTAAACTCTTTTTCAATTGAAAACACAAATAGAATATCTAAACAAATTAAGAACACAAAGTCTTACAAATTATTAGGGGTGGTTGCGGTTTGATGGTTCGGTTGCGGCTAAAAGAATCTTAAATCCGTCATTTGTCCAAAATTAGGCGAATTGAAAAAAATTAATCCGCAACCGTTTGCTCGTCATCACGCATCCATCCAAAATGCAGCGGATCGATTCGATTTGATTCGGTCGGTTTGGGCGGATTGAAATATCCGCTGCCTACCCCTAAAATAAAATGTTTTAATACTTTCTTGTGTTTATGTTAAATGATCAGGATCAAATATAAGAATTGCCCACTTTGAAGCTATCAAAATCATTTGTGATTGACTGTTTTATTGCTATCAAAATGTTTTATAAAGCTCATTGTGGATTCATAAATTTTATCATGAGCATGGATCTAGTTTGACTATGATTTGTACACTAAGCCAATGCGGTTCAGTGTTGGCACATAAACTAGTTTCTTTTAGGCTTTAACCACATAGTTGAATGTGATTTTCAGCCTTGTCACAAGCCAATGTAGCTGTACTCACTAAAATTTGAATTTGTGTATTGAACCATTGAGTTTAGGATTGTCTGTATTAGTTCCTATGGGTTTTTGAACTGTATGATTATTGAATTTACCTTATTGGAATTGTTTTACTTAAATGTTCCCCCTCTTGCATGACCTCCACCACCCCCCAGCGGTCTCTCGAATCATATTTCATTTCTATCAAAAGGTTTATATAAAATCACTACTTATTGAAATGCACAATTTACTTATATTTGATATGATTAGTTGTGGTAGATAGTTACTTACTTCTTCTGTATCACATTTCATTTCTATCGAAAGGTTTATATAAAATCACTACTTATTGAAATACATAATTTACTTATATTTGATATGATTAGTTGTGGTGGATAGTTACTTACTTACTTCTTCTGTATTACAGTTCTAGAGGAACAATGCTATGCAGTTTATTCTTGGAGTGGAGTGCTGAGTGTTGAAGCTATTCTGCATTATTTTGTTGGGGACATTAGTTTATATTTTAATTATAGAGCCCTAATTTATTTGGTGTAATGGATTGTTGTGAAACTTTGTGACATGCTCTGACATGTTATGCTCCACTTGGACTGAACTTGTGGATTGCTGTTATCTCTTGTATTGTGGATTAAAGAACTATTGATCGGGTTTTTTTTCATAATTGCCATTATTATGGAATGAAATTGAGTTGGTTTTCCTTTAGCTTTGCAAGCCTCAAGGGTGAAGTCTTGTTAGTGTGTGGCGTTGCCACTCGCCTAGTTGGGTTGACAGTTGTTCTAAAGAATAGTCTTTATGCAAAAAAAATTCATGCATATTCATAGATTTCAATTCGAATATACATTCCTCTTTATGCATTTCATCTCATCATTTGTATCTCTGTTGTCTGTACTAACTATATTTGTGTAGTGACTTTGTTGCTTGTCCTTGAGACCCAACTCAACTAATTTGGAAAACACAGTCAAAATTATGTTCATTTACTGAACTGATGATTTTTTCATTTTCTTCATTTTATTTTTATTGATCGAGGAAAACAAGTTGAGATTGCAAAACAGGGAGGGAAACATCAAAGGAGAGAAAAGAAGAAAATCCAGGAGGTGGGTGCATAAGTCCATCTAATGATCTCTCTCTTGAACTCTCGGTTGGACTCTTTGTAGTATTGTTTCCAATTTCATTTGTAATCATAATGAAATGGAAAAGTCTTAAACAAGACATATTCACCTAGAATTTTTTATGTGAGTAGTTGTGTGGTGGAGATTAAATTTGTATAATATAAGGTTTTTGTGTAGAATAAATCTGAACTATAAGATGATAATTTTAGATAATTTTTGGGTAATTATGTCTGAGTTTGTAATATTATTAAAGAATTTTAACTGAAAATTACAACAATCTTGACTATGATTTTCAGTAGTCTTTAGTATGTTTGAGCTTATATAATTTAAATTTGTCAACTTACTTTAGGTTTTTTTATTTTTCACAATATGAAATATGTTAATTCATCAACTAATGTTTCATTTTATCTACTTTGCCTATTAGATTGGTAGTGCTTGAAAAATCAAGACGAATACAAATCTTTAACATTGATTTCTTGTTAAATCGAAACTCTGAATTCAAGTTGGAACCAAATATGAAAATCAACAGCAAGAGGTTTAGTTGCCTGTCATAATAATAGTCAGGGTTCAATAATAAGATATGAAAACAGAGTGTCATATTGCTACAAATCAACAAAAACAAAGCAATGCTACAAATGAAACTTGCATAAAAATGAATGTAAAAATTGAGAGGGTGATTGTATTGGGGTCTATCCTACCTGGTGGCATAAAAATGAATTGCAAAAATCGTTTCACATGTAATGCATTGACTTCCAACTACCACAAATTGGAGTCAAAATTCAACACGTAATAGTGATATTATATTATTATTAACATACAGTATTATTAACACGTAATAGTGATATTATATTATTATCAGCGAATGATAAATTAATACATGAAATGAGTGAATCCAACTATAACTACTAATATGTGTATTAACAACATATTATGGTTCATTAAGTTATCAGTTGTTAAATTTAATAGTTTAGGAGAATTTAAGTGAGGTGTGATAGCTTGAAAGACAAAGTAAAAAAAGAGTTACCAAAAGACAACTTAAGAAAGCAAATTAAACTTCTTATTTTTACTATGTCATAAAAAACTAAGCAAAAATTGATCAAACAATTTATTATTTATCACATAATTATTGATTGAATATCAGTGAGTGTTTGTATCTCACAATTGTAACTAATTATCCACATGATTTTGAATATAGGAGAATTATATAAAAAAAGAAACTACTATAATTTGATTTGTATTTAAATTAGTTACATCTCGTTTCGAATAAACTAAGTTTAAATATATTTTAATGGTTGTTTGGAAATACCTTAAAAAGTCATTTTTTAGTGACTTTTTTCAAAATTATGACAAAATATTTTACTTTTCTAGTTACTCTTGTGTAGATGAATCTAAAATATAATTTTTTTTGAAAAATTTCAAAAAAAAAATTGAAAAATCAAAATAAGCCAAAATAGTCAATATTTTTTTTTTGCTTATTTCGGAACTTTTTTTAATTTTTAATTTTTTTAAAAACAATTCACTAAAGTCGAAAATAGGCACAAAAACAAAAAAGAGAGTACCAATTAAGCAAACCCAAACACCTACTAAAACTCCATAAATTGTTAAATCAAAACTCACAGCCCTAATTGCATACTTTTATGTTTCAAATGATAAAAGGCAGCAATAATAAACAGGGGACGCATCAATTCCTTGAGCTTTAGGGGAAAAGTGAAATTACAGATATGCCCCTGGATTCCGTTATCTGCAACTTCCTTCTGAAGATGAGAGAACTTTGTAACGGCTACTTACAGAGAACTCTCTCTCTCTCTCTCTTCTCTCATCGGAAGAAATGGAGGAGAAACCCCAATTGTCGATCATCAATATTGAAGAAGATGGAGGTGGTGGGGAGGAGGAGGAGGAGTTATACGAGAAGATCGAAGCGCCCAAGTTCGTGGACTTCACAGCCTCCTCCGATCCCTACACTCCCGACGATCGTTACTGGTTCTGTCTGCGTGTCGGTACGTATTTGTTTCCTCATCCCCACCCACATCATTCACTTAATTTCCAGATTTTGTTTATTTGTTTATTTTTTACTTTGTGTTTTTCTTGTTGAGGGTTTGATTTTGATTCATGTGTGTATGTACTAATCTATGTCACAGCTCTGCTTTCATGTCTACTGATTGGTTTGTTTGTTTAGTTGATCATTCTTTTGTTTAGTTAGCTCTGATTTTATCTAAATATGAGGATTCCCTCGGATCTAAAATCTGCACTGGAGGGGGCTGTTTGGGCCGTGGGGCCTATCAAGAGCCCATTTCGATGATTTGAATAGTTCATAAAAAAAATTAGGTCGATTTGATAATTGTAATTTGTTTAATTTATCATTTTTTTACTAAAAAAATGAATGACAATTGTACTTTTAAAAATGAACCATACATTTTTTTGATAAAAAAAATAATAAATTGAACAAGTTGCAGTTATCGGATCGATCTAATTTTTCTTGATGAAATATATGAAATGCCTAACAAAATGAACGGTTTAAATTATCGAAACAGAGGCCGTGGTTGTTAGAATTTACCTTACCTACTACACTCCACTACCACCTCCAATTCACCTACTACACTCCACTACCACCTCCACTTCACCTACTACACTCCACTACCACACTCAACATCTCCTATATAAACAGCACCTCAACATTTGTAAATTACAACAACTATAAATCAATAATATACATCAATTTATTTTACAGTGGTGGCCCCAATAGGCCCAAACAGCCCCCCTCCTCCTTAAAAGAAATGGGCTTTCTTTTTCTTTGATTTTCACTTTCCCTTACCAAGCTGCACCAGGGTTATGAATTTCAGCGTCTATGAGGCAGTGTTTGGATCATGAATAAATTTAAGTTATATTTTACATTTAACTCTTTTTTCCTTTCTCTTTTCCAATTTCTTATTTAAATCCATGATCCAAACACCCGGTCAAAGAACCTGGTTCTCATCACTCTTGAACTTTTTATTTTTTAACTCTCTCTCTTTCTTTTTCTTCTTCTTTTTTTCATTTTTTAAATTTAGTGGACTCTATTTGGTTGTGGAGAAAATTGAAGAAAGGGAAATTTGTTAATGAGGTGTTGCATCTTTTAAAGGCTACAGCTTTACTTTTCTGTTCTAGATCTAGAAACACACACACATATATATTATTCCAAAAGCTTATGGATAGGTCTGATTACCCATTTTTTTCTTGTGGTATATTTGTGTAAAAGTTACAATATTTGATCTTTCTTGTTGCATTTCCTTCATTATCTAAAATTTGGATTTTCAAGCTAAAATGTGCCAATTAACCTCTATATGTTCTCTGTAGCCTGAAAATATCAACTGTTGGCTTGGATATCCAAATAAAAAATCTTTAATACCTTGTGTGACTGTCTCTTCAATTATGTCTCAGGATGTGACCAAAAACATGAAGAAGAAATGGACCCTGAAGCAATTTCCAAAAACTTTGTTCTTCGGGTTAGTTATATGTTGTCCTTTTTGTTAAATGGTGTAGTTGATAGGTTAATCTAGAGTTTGGCACATTGATTCAAACAGGTCATGGCAGCCAGGAGTCCCAATATCCGACTTCACAAAGCACTAAACAAAAAGGCTTCTAGGTACTAAAAAAAAAAGCTTTTAGATGGATGAATTCGAATTTTTATCATTTGTTTTCTGTGGTCTATGTAATTTTAATTTTCACTAACACACTTTACTTGATCTTTTAGTGTGAATGAGAAATGCCCACTTTCAGTTCCAGCAAAACCTTCAAAGTCTAGAATATCAAGATTAGCAGTGATTTCTTCGTTTTCTCAGAAAATGGGTGATGCAAGAGGGAAAGTTAAGCCTCTTTCCAAGCTCAGTTCATGTTCAACCCCAAATCCCAAGGTCAAGCAAGTTGCAGCCAAGTACTTAACTACTCCCAGGAACAAAAATTGCCTTCCTAGTCCAAACTCCTTTCGAAATGTTCAGAACCTGAAGCCAACAAACATTGCAGAACCAAAGAATAGAACGGTAGCAAAGGCTTTGGTTTTCCAGTCCCTAAAGAAAGTCATCAGCATAAAAACTTCATCGGAATTGCGTACTCCTTTAACGAAGATTTGTGGAGGGATGAAGAGGCTTGAAATAACCAGTCAAAGGAAGCACATATTGGGGTATTCTAACAAATCATCGAAGGACATTAGACGCGATCCTGACAAATCATTGCCTTTGAATCCTTCTAGAAGAAAACTAGGTGTTTACAAGGACAAAAGCAAGGCCAAGGAATTGTTTAGGCCTCCAAATTGCAAGGAGAAGGGAAATAAATCTTTAAGATGTATCAAGAAGGGAAATAAACCTTGCAACTCTATGCCCAAAGAAACGGTTGAAAATGACTTAAGCAGCATGGAGATTGACATGAAATCAAGGGATGGCTCGATATTAGGTAGTTCAAGGATTACTGAAGGAAATGCATGTGAGGAATGGTTGTCAACTGAGAAAACATCAGGAAATTTGGATACCATAAATTCTACTCGAGAAGAAGCTGTTACTTGCTTAGAGGTAGTGCCACTAACAAAGAATTCAGACACGGTGTTGTTAGATGCCTCAAGAGGCGAAATGAGCACCTCATCAAACTCTGAAGAAGGGTGTTTGGAAGAAAATGATTTCCCCAAATTTGAAGAAAACTCTGAAGGGGGCAATGAGAGCAGTGAAGGAATTGACGAGGAAGGAAAAACAAATGCAAGTTCGGAGAAGAGAGAAAGCCCAGAAGACCACAGCACCGAATCTGAAAATTTAGGAGTAATAGGACATGAAGGTGAAGCTGTGGACAGCAATGACAAAGAACATGCTTACAGTGATGACAAAGAAAATGTTTTGGCCTCTGATGGTAACAGGTGTGAGGCTAGTTCTGGAAGAAAAATATTTCGCAAGCGGGAGACAAATGAAATTACTAAAAAGGTTCTATTTCTTTTTCTCGTGTTCTAGAATAACAAGAACTTTATCACATATAATTTTCTGTTTCATATTAGATGGTTCCATCATCTCATTATTTTGATTATCTTATACTTTTGAAATTAATGTAGGTTAACCAAACACAGGACAAAAAATTGAAAGAAGGGCACATTGTCATCACTCAAGGGTTGAAGTATAAGAAACCAAAACCCACAAATCCCAAGCCTTTCAGGCTAAGGACTGATGTAAGCCGTGTCTTTCCCAAATTAAATATGTACAAAAAAATATGTTCTTGCTTGTCACGTCTAATAGAACTGATGATTTTTTAGGAGAGAGGAATTCTTAAGGAAGCAAACTTGGAGAGGAAAATGCAAGCACTAGTTCCTCATGAGGAAATTGTAGCAGCCTCAACGCTCCCAAGCAGAAGTTTGCACAAAAAGCATGGGAATGAAATCCAAGTGAGCATTTTCTTGTGGGGATTATTTCTTGTATTTATCATGGAATGAATAATACTGAAGTCAGATATTTTTCATTTGATCGCAGAGAAATGAGAAGTGCCTCGAACGAAGAAAGTGCAATCACGATACAAGTGAAAGCAGCGGAAATGAATTGCAGAAAAATTATCAAAAGGATGAACCCGTAAGTCATCTTCATTTTCAGTTGTTTACTTATTTATACACTTTTAAACTCCTCTCTATTGTTATTGCAAGGTTCAAAAGTTTGAGATTTCCTGAAAAAATTCTTTATCTTGTAATTTGCAGAAACAGAGTCGAACAATTTCAGAAGGACAAGCATATCCAAAAATAGCTACTATAACCCCACAGAGATGTTCCAAATCAACACAACAAAAACCTAAACCAATAACCTCCAGACTTGAATATGGCAGGGATGTTACTAGTCAAAAATTAGAAAACAGCTTAAGAAAGACAAAGTCATCTTCACAGCATGAGCAGTTTATTAGTCCCAAAGGGTGAGTACTACTCTTGGTTTAGTGTTATCTCATCCTTGATTTATGAAAAATTCTCCATAAGACTGATTTAGCTATACACTTTTTCAGGGTTGCTTCAACGAAGAAGGCAATGGCTTGTGGTAAACAACTCACTGTGATAAAGGAAATATCATCAACAGCTTCAAGGTCCAAGGAAGCAGGAGATCCAAGCCATAGTGATATTAGCCATGCAAATAAAGCTGCTACTTCTTCTGCTTCCAGGTCATTGTCACGGGGAAAAAGGCCTTTAACCATTCCAAAGGAGCCAAATTTTCACAACATCCACGTACCCAAGTGTTGCGCAAGGAAAGTGGCTTAGGCGAAGTGTTATTATCTTCTCCTTGTTCAATTTTTTATTGAATTATATTTGCTTGTTTAAATTTATTTACTTTCCATTTCATACACAACGCGCTGCAACTTTGTAATAGTTGAGGTAATTTATTTCCTTGCCATATATTTACTTTCCATGCAATAAATTGTTTCGCCACCTTGAACAGTATTTTTTGTGATATATATATATATATTTATATTATTTTGTGGTGTTTACATGTAGAAAGAATCATGATACCGTTATCCTGACTTTAGACAAGGTAGCTTTAAATTTCTTAAAGTAAGCTCACTGTGCATGTAGTTAACTTGAAAGAAGATAAAGCTAAAACAAAATTGCTTAATCAAAGTGTAAATGAAGTTGTTATTTAGTCTATTGATATAATTAATGAAAATTTGACAAAATATGTAGACATTTTTTAAAAAAAAATTTGACAAAATATGTAGACATTTTTTTTTTAAAAAAAAAAAAAGAAAAAAAAAAGTGGGTGAACGAATGCATATAGCTGCAAAAAATAAAAGCCACCTCTATGCACTTGAGGACTGTTGTGTGTGCACTTTTCAGAATGCTTTTGCAATTAAAAGAAATAATATGATATTAGAAGATTCAATTCTTCTAAAAGGCGGTGTGTTTTAACAGCATTCTTTATGTCATGGTTTAGCTTGATAACCAAAAGCCCAATTTGGTTTATTTTTCAAGTCAGTCATGATGAAACAGGTAAAATGGAAGAATTTCCTTGGACGAAATCACAGTCCTAGCTTCACAATTAAAGAATTCTATTCTCTTGGTTCTTCTACCAATCTTGAAGTATAAGACTTGTACTTTGAAGAGAAAGGGATAAGACAGAAAAAAGAATCAAAGCCAACGGACCTGATCACCTCTTTCTCATTATTGCATTATCAATTTGCTCATAAAGGGAGAAAGGCCTTCGTGTGTAATAAATACGATTCAATCATGTTGGGTAAGGCTGTGTACATCTTGTCTTCCCTATACATTGGTGGGACTGAGGTCCCCCTGTTTTTAAAAATTATTTCCCATTACTTGACAAATGAAGCAATACAATCCATCATAATCAACTCAAATTATATATAAAAAAATGAAGTTCCGAAGAGTGAGAGCAGAGCTTCTCTCTCTTGGAGATTTACAGCGGTGCTCTGGCGATACTCTAACAACTCCTTTTACACTTCTAAAGTGTAGATCTACACCTTTAAAGTGTAGATCTACAGTTTTAAAATATAAATCTGAACTTTTTATATCTGAAATAGGGGTTTGAGAGTTCTTTTTCCCTGATTTCGTCATAGATTTTTAGATTTTTGCTACTCAAAATGATTCTCTCCTTTCTCAAACCTTCTCCCATAATTTTTCTCGTTTTCATATACTTAATATTTTTTTAATACTAAGACGGTGTTTGGCAACGGATTGGGCAGGCTATTTTAGCCTCAAATAATTAAAAAAAAAAGCCAGGTAGCCTGACTGTAGCTGAGGTAGAGAGCTTCAGTCCAACTGGATGTCTTTATCTGGGTAAAAAGACATTTTTACCCTTTGTAGCTCATATCCAAAAACCAAAAGTGACAACTGAAGACGGGCTTTTTACCCTTTGTAGCTCATAGCCTGACTGTAGTTGAGGTAGAGCTTCAAGCTATTTTTTGTACTCCCTCATTCCCAAAATAATAGTCTCTTATTCCATTTTTCATTGTCCCAAAATATTTATCCCTCTTCAAAAATCGAGTATAAAAATAATATAAATTTCTTATTTTTCCCTTCTTTTAAATTTATAAACAATATAAAAAGTACAATTATGACATTGATATTCCCTAAAAAATGTACTATCAAAGGGTAATTTTGAAAAATTAATTTTTTTAAAGTACAATAATTGTACTATCAAAAAAAGTTGGATTTCTCAAAAGGGATCACTATTTTGTGACGAAAGGAGTATTAGTAATGAATTTGAAAAAAGGGTAAAATAGAAAATTCATATTATTTTTTTCATTAATTTTTAAAAAGAGACTAATATTTTGAGACAACAAAAATTAATATTTTGATACCGAGGGAGCAACAAGTTTTGAGTATTTATAATTTCTATAATGAGATTTGTTGGTACAGTAATTAATATTTGTTGGTTTACTAATTAATATACAAATTTTATTATAAATATGTGCATTGATTTTGTCAAACTAATATCAACTTAATTAATTTATTACAAACAAATTTTTGACCCAAGTCAACACATGACAGACGGTGGCAATGCCCTCACTACCACGTGTAATGCTGCCTTGTGTATTTTATTATTTTTTGTATGGACAGTTTAGTCATTTTACATTCTACCATCATTTTAAACACATTTTTCAATACAATAACTCAAATAAAAATTAATCCCATCTTTCCAAACACAAAAACTAAAATAGCTTATTAAAATAGCTAAAAAACTTAAAAAATAACTACTTCCCAAACACCCACTAAATATCAAACTAATTGTCATCTTCTTCTTCTTCTTTTTCTTCTTCTTCTTCTTTATTATAGGTCTAGCGGAATAGTGTTGCTCAAGTTGTAATTGGGGTAAATTACTAAAAAGTAGAAGTTATTTTGAAGTACTTTGTTGCAACATCTAAAATGAATTTGCAAACTATTGTTGAGACTTGTGGTATTGTGGATTAAAGGGGATTACTGACTGATTTTAGCTCTTTGATTGCCATGATTATTTTGTGGAATGAGATTGAATTGGTTTTCTAATCAGCAGCGCTACTGCTACTGCTACACGATCACTTCTCATAATTCAAATCTCACTCCCTACTCTCAAATCTCACAAGTGTTGTGCAAAACTGCAGCTTCTTTGATTTCCTTCCTCAATCAAGGCATTGAATCAAGGAACTCTCAACCAACAACGAAATTGTGATCCAACCACCACAGCCACCACCCTTCCACCTCCGACCACTACCCAGCTCTCCTCCACCCGCACGACAATGTTGAGTTAATATTGAGATATTTCTGACACAAATTCGAAATGACATGACACTTATCCTAGATGTGATTGTGTTCTTATCAAGTTTGTTCTCTCCTTAATTGGAGAAGGAGGGGAAAAAACAGTACTATATTCCTCAATTTGCCAGACAAAAATTAAGATAGAAAAATAAACTGACTTTTTTGTTAGTGTCATCTATCCCATGATTTTAATTTAGAATTTTGGTTTTTATTTTAGTAAATTATATTTATTTGATGTATACCATACATGTGTATAACTTGTAACACAACTTCTAGTAATAATAAATACGCCAATATAGTTAGGTTCTGAGTAACCACTACAACCAAACCATTCAACAAATGGAACAAAATATCTGAAATTTTCAGTAAGATCAATCTCAACTTCACAACACCACTAAGGGTTTTTAATAGGCTCACTTTTAACCTAAATCGTTTGTGTGATAATATAGATATATGCATGTGTTTATGCAAAGAAGATACTTGACCATCGCATCGTGTATGAGGTGGTAGCGGTGTAGAACTAGGCTGCAACAGTAGGGTCCTACCTTCTATACACTCCCTAAATGCACAGTGGCCACTCAACATTAAAGTATAATTCGTTAGGCATACGAATAGAATTTTTTGTTAAATTAAAATTAAAATATAGTAAGTAAAAAAACAAAAATTGTACTGAACCTAGAAGGCATCTGAACTCCCTTCGTCGCTTGAAATTAATTCGTCATTTGCTTGATATGTGTAGTGAGTTCTTCCCTGAGCTCCCTTTTGAGCTTCTCACACATTTGTTGTGTGTTTTGGATAATCATTGAGGCCTGCTCCTGCATTAACTTCTCCCAAACTTGTTGAGTGATCTCGACCATCGTTAAGGCTTGGGATGCAAGTGATGGGCCCACACCATGTCTGTACACCGCAGTCTGAGGCGCATCCCCTCTATATGTCTGAAAATACCCAAGTTGTGTCGCCTGGAGGGACTCAGGCTCGTCAAAGAGTTGCCAATTATACCCGTCCTACATTTTAAAAACACAAGTACACAATGACACAAAAAAAAATTACGATGGTGGAAAAATTAAAAAAGAAGAAAAACACAATACTTGGTGTTGTATCTGCGATAAGTGTGTCTGCCCCATCGTAAGAGGTGGGCCACAAAGCTCCCAATTGCAGGAGTTTTGAGTCGATATCTCCTGTAGCATTAGTTCCACATTTATAATATTAGCTAAACATTTAAAGTGATATTTAAACTTTTAGAAATTAATTTTCACTAATAAACCACTACTGCCGAATTATTGCTCCAATAACCCGTCGAGTTACAATTACCATATGTGAGGGGAATTTGGTGCCGTTACGCACTATCTGTCCAAGTTGGCCATTCAAGGAGGCATCTTGATCCCCTACCGGCTGGAATGTACTGTCAAATTGGATGTCCATCCTAGCACCAGTATTCCACTCCTTGATGCCCCTAACATAGCCTTGACCACACCTAGTTAAGGTAGAGTTAGAAGTCGCTAGGCCTAAGAGAAACAATGATAATGAACAAGTTAGAGATAAACAAAGTATGGCCTGATTTAACATGGCAATTAATGTAAAATCATTAAAGATGTACATACCTGAGGTGGAATGTGATGATGATGGTAGTGATGTGGTTGCAAGTGATGATGAAGGTGCCAATAATGGTGGCTGTGATCGAGGCTTCTGGGATGCTGGCTGTGAGGTAGAGGTGTGAGTGTAATCTGAACGAGCAAGATGATAACAGCTTTCCTTTGACATAGTAATCTGTAAGAAATAGAATTGATAAATTCAAGATATGGACATTATTAGTTAGCTGAGAGTAACAGCTCATCAATTGAATTGATAATACAAGATATGGACATAAACAGAAAATATGTTAGATCTCATTAATTTAAGTAATAATTCAATCCCATCACACTAAAACAAGATATACTTGCGATCATGACTATATTACATTTCAATAATGATAGTCAAATATGCATTGTAGTACACTAGCATAACTCACAGTATTTGCCTTTAAAGTCATACGTCACAATATTGCGTGGCTCAACAATCATCCTGGCCTTTACACAAAAACAAAACTCATTGATTATATAGTTTTAAAACTTCTTTGACCATCTGACAATCTATTGATTTCTTCAGAAAATATGATATTATTTGTTGTCCACAAAGACTCATTCAAAACAAAC